TGGCTGTCCATCAGGTCAGTGGTTATTCTAGGAATCAAAATTTAAATTAACTCCTTTATCATTTTTAACGTTGACTTGTTATTTACCCTTCACAGTTTTCAGATTTTTAAATTTTTTTATTTGCTTTTTAATTTGCATGTGTGTGAGATTGTTTGCGTGTGCATGTGTGTGCATGTATGCGTGTGTGACTGCAGACCCAGACAAACCACAGTGCACACACGTGCGTATCGGAGGACAGCCTCAGTGTGCCGTCTGTCCTCACCTTCTGCATTTGAAACAAGGTCCCACGTTTGCTGCCTGTTCTCCAGGCAGAGTGGCCTGTTACCTTCCCAAGGTCCCCTTGTGTCCACCTCCCATCTCACCACGGGAGGGCAGGTATTACACATGCACACAAGTGTTACTGTGTCAGCTTCCCGTGAGTTCTGGGGGTCCAGCCTCAGGGGCTCGGTTTTACCTACTGCACCCCTCTCCCGCTCCTACATTACTGTTGATGATTAGTGCACGGGGTGTGGTGTTAGGTATTTGGCTTTGGTTAGTTCTCTGACAGCTCCTCTCCATCTCGCTGATCTCTTCCCATGCTTGTGCCCTTCGACCCCCAACATTCCCTTCTCACCTCCACAGTGCATTCTGCCTAGCATTTGAATATGTTTTAACGTAATCCCTATCAATAAAATTGCTTTCACACAGTGCTTTGAATCTTTCCCTGGTCAGGAAACTCCAGACTTTGCAGCCAAGCCTCATCTCATGCCTCAGTATTGAAAATGCAAACCCTGCTCAGCCTGGACAGAGGTCATCACTCAGGCATTTATTTAATCCTCATAGGCCCTTTCAAGCCTGTGATTAAGTCCGAACAAAAAGCACCCGTGACCTGCTTAGCAGCAAAGAGCCGAGCAAATAGTGGGTGGTGCAGGCCTCTCAGCTCTCAGGGGTGGGCAACAGTGCCCACACCAGGAAGCAGGCCTGAGTAGCTCCAGTAGAATGTACTGCTAAAAATCTCTCACCTCGGGACACCTGTGGAGGAGACGCTTAGACTCTGGGGAGCCTAGGGGTCCCCTGAAACTGAACGTAGAGCTTCCTATGTGCATACATAAACTTTGCAGAGAAAAATCATGTGGACTCTACTCCTTCCCGGTGAACAGTATTTAAGGAGGCAGTGCACATCTCTGCCACACCTCTTAGAAAGTGTACTTGGCACATACCTGGGAGATCTCATCTGTTTGCTAACTTCCCTTTTCAGCTACTAGACTTTGAGTGGTGGAAAGAAGGAGAGAGAGAAAGATCTTAGAGTCCATTGAAAAACAGAAGTTAAAATGTCAGGTGAGGGGCCGGAGCGATGGCTTCGCGGTTAAGAGGGCTCGCTCCTGTAGAACGCTGGAATTCAGCTCCCAGCACACACATGGTGGCCCCCAAGTGTCTGTAACTCCAGCTCCAAGGGACCCAGCGCCTTCTTCTGCCCCTCTTAAGCACCGAGCATGAACATGGTGTATATTCATGCATGTAGGCAAAACACCCACACACACAAAATTAAAATAAATATCTCTTATTTTTTGAAGTCAGAAGAAAAACATGAATTGGGAACAGGATTCTCATCGAGGGCAATTTGGGGGAGACGTGTTCTATGGGAGAATGTCTGGAAGTTCAGGGTGGTCTCCTCTCGATAAGGAAGCCTGGCACAGCCTGTCCGACACACGTTCAAGGCAGCTCGCACACCGGGACTTCGGGAACAAAGAGAGGGCAGGGGGGAAGTGAGGCCAGACTGAAATGTCCTCAGACAAGAGCTGGCTCGGAGGAGAGAAAGTGGGTGTGGGTAGCTGGCTGCAGGTGAGTAGCTGGCTGCAGGTGAGTAGCTGGCTGCA